GATAGTATAGATAATCGTTTGTGCCGCAGAAACAAAAAACAAGTAAGCACTTGTTAGCACCCCAAAATAGTTTGCTACTTGTAGCAGTTATGCTGTATACCTGAATGAAATATAATCCTTGGAGAAAAAATTTATTTGTGGCATGTTGTTCAAGGACATATGTACATATGTATGTATGTATGTATGGATATGTATTTGCGTAAACAAAGAATAGAGGCCGGTTCACATACAACTTTGGCGTTGCGTTGGCGTTGAATTTCAAAGCAGCCGTCCACATAACCAAAATTTGGAAACGCTAAGGCCAACACAAAGCGCGTGCGTCGGTCGCCAGCTGTTGCAAATAAATAAAATTACCAGCCTTAATTATCAAATACTGTTTAACACCCCAAATAGTAGTTTGTATTATACTACATACACACATATGTATGATTTTTATAAATATTATATTCTCATTTATACATATGTAACATAGTTACTTAGCCGAATTACTTAGTTTCTAATTTATTTAATTGTTTAAATGTGCACATATTATAAGTTTAGTCTATATATGATACTTTGTCTAGAATATCATTATTTAATTTAACTATTAATAGTTAAATTGTTTAAAGTTTCTTTCGAGAGTCGTGTTCGCAATTTCGTTAAAATTGTGCCTAGAGCACTAAATGCCCTTTCAACTGAAACTTGTGTTGAAGGAACAGCGAGTACGACTTGTACTAACAGTCCAATGTCGTTATCATTTATAGAACGAGCTTTCCAATATTGAAGGATATCAGCTTCAAATGGGACCCTTTGCGTATAAGCAAGATTTTCTAATTTTTGCTTTAAATTTATTTGTAATGTGACTGCTGCGTTACTGCGTAATCTGTCAAGTTGGTTATTCAATCTGAAAAAAGGTCTGCTCTGGCTTGTTGTTTTTGCTTCAATTTCACCCGCTTCATCATTGTTGGGTGGATTTCCAGCTAATTCTTGAATAGCTTCGAATGTATTAAGAAGGTGTTCCTGAAAATAATGAATAAAATGCAAATTATATAGCTAATATTGTCCTTCGCATATACATACATATGTACATAGGCATAGTAATATTAATATGAATCTTAAATATACATGTTTTTAGCGCACTTACCACTGCTTTGTATTTTTGAGTTTGGTTCAAATATGGCGAATGTAAAAAATTGAACCTAGGGTCGACATAAATCGCTGATAAAAATGCTTCATTTTGCAAAAGCACGGCTTTCCTCTGTTTTACCGTTCTTAGTAAAGTCGAAGCGTAATCGTATTGGCTTGAAATTAGTTCCTGTAGTTCCAGTTCGCAAGTTAGCCAGTCTCTATAAAAATCCCCAAGTGGTTTGAATGTCTGTAAAAATGCGTTGACAAAGCCCCAGTCAACATCTGGCATATTTGTGTAATTTTCCTCAATATAGCTCTTTACGTTAAGTAAGGAATTAAGCATCATATATGTTGAGTTCCAACGTGTTGCATTATCCAATATCGGCACGTTGCTCGTACCGCGGAGAATGCATCTGGGAGATTTAACGGCTTTTCTACAGCTTTCAATGTTAGTTTGCATTGTTTTAATGACATCGTATGCTGCTAACTGGAGGGTGTGTGCTGCACATCTAACCACAGCCATAGTTGATTTGAGGGTATTGTGCACTTCATCATACCCATCATCATCTACGTCATTGGAATCGGAGTCATCATTTGGATTGTTCTGAGGGAAGAAAATTTTGTATGAGTATTAATTATATGTATATTAAATCTTTTTAATGATTCCTAAACTCTAAATTTCTAAGGACTTCTAAACATGTCTTACCTGAACTTGACCTTGGGATATTTGAAGCAACTTCGATGTTTTTATTACATTGGCTCCATTATCAGTGGTGCTGGAATAAATCTGGCGAATTTCGATTTTAAATTAGTCCAAGCAATTAAGGATTTCTTGCTTTAAGTTTTCTCCGGTGTGTCTGCTTCTTAATTCCACCATTCCCAAAGTATGAATAATTATTTTATATCCATCGATGTATTGCGCATTAATGCCTAATATATGGCGATTTTGTCTTGTCGCCACATCCATTTTAAGGCAAATAAGCCTGTTTTTTAAATTTTCAGCTATAATACTTTTTGTTTGTCCTGCCGCAAACCCAATTTTGTCCACAATATTTTTAGAATTTATTTTAAGGTCGAACATTTTTTCGTAAGGGTGTATGAGTTTCTTAAAGTAATTTTCGTCGTCAAAGATACGAAATGGAATACTTTTCACTGTTACCATCCCTACACATGCATTCAAAAATTCATTTTTGTCGATGTTTATTTCTGCGACTTTTTTTGCCCCTCTACTCGAGCGGGAATTTGTATTCTCGCTGACAGCAACTCCTTTATGCATAGTTGCATAATGCCTTTTAATATTATAAACACTTTTGCCTTTTAGTGATTTTTTGCGCAGTAAACAGATTGAAATATTTGTATCCGCGTTAAAATTTACTAGGTTTTCCATTTTTAAATATACACTTGTTTCGTCGACGAATTATTAGCAAAGACTTATAAATGTTACCCCAAACCACACTCTCTTATATATGTACTTACCATTACGTTACTTCGTTTGCCTGCCTGAGTAAATTGTTTGCCTTTGATGTCTCGTTTTTTCCCCTTTGTCCACTCAGCTTTTACCTACTTCACGTCGCCCCGGTTTGGTTTGCTCGCTCGTTTGCGTTTCCCGGATTTTCCCTACCCTCCGCCCATGGATGCTACCTAGTATGTATGCAGACATAGGCACCAAAATGGAAAAATATGAACATTCTACTTGAAATGTTTCCAAAATTATTAAAAAAACACAATTATGATATTTTTCGAGTGAGAACGATATATTTATGCTATAAAACTACACACCAAGCATTGCTCTACATATAAATGTGATTAAAAAGTTTAAAACTTTGTTGAAATTTTCAAATTTTTTTACAAAGTATGAAACTTGCTTGGACTTGTATGGTCTGTCTCTCATGTACACTTTAGCGGGAGATGCGTTCTTCAGAAAGCCGCATAAAAAAGTTCTTTAATTTCATACAAGAACAGGAGATGCGTTCCAGCATTTTCAAAACCCGCATAAATTCAGATACTTCAAAAAAAAAAATTTATTTGTTCACTTCTGTATTTTAACCAAAACAAAAAATACCATAAAAAATACATGAATTATGTAAGAAAAATTGATTGCAAAAAAGTAATAAAAACTCTCAAAGAAGCAAAATCGATACAGCGAAAAAAATGTTTGAAAAACCTCATAAATTCAAATCCGCATAAAAAAGAACCACATAAAAAGAGACCTAAGTGTATAAGTTGAAATTTTATAAGCTATTGAAAATTAAAAAAACTATACCTACATATACTACGTTTATACGTAAGCTATTTGCAAATAAAAATAATTTGCAAATACCTAACTCACTGTTTATTCGATGGTGAAAAATTCTTTTTTAATATTGCCTGATTATAAAAAGGCAATAATATGACAATCGAAAAAGAAAATAAAGTTAAAAATGGCAACGTCTTGATTATAAAAAGGCAATAAGATGACAATCGAAAAAGAAAATAAACCTAAGAATGGCGGCGTCTTGCGCTTATTTGCAAATAGTAGCACTAATCAATACTTATTTGCGTGATTTAGTTACTTGCAAATAAAAAGTTATCTCAGCGTTTATACGGCAAATGTTACTATTTTGCAAATTGTTATTTGCGAATAATACGTGCGTATAAGTACATAGTAATATATATGTATGCACATATGAGCCTACCTAGTAGATAAAACTGGCAAAAATAGCACGCATCTATTCTTATGTGCATGAAAATATATACATATATAAATAAATACATACATATGTGTATATATGTATGTATATACATATCTACATGTGTGCATACAATCGTTTGCTCTAAATTCTTAGTTGATGCAATTTGTATCCCATACATTTTTGCTGACCAAACAACCCGTTTGCATGTCTAATCTGCTTGCCTCATTTGCCTCGCTCGTCTGCTGCTGCAAATGAGTGCCTCGCTCGCAACGCCCCTCTCGCGAGGGCAGACCTAATGAGGCCCTCGTTTGCTTGCCGCTCTACTCTTGCGCCGCCCTCGTTTGCTTACTCGCTCGCTGGATACTCATCGCGTGCGCTCGTACCTAACGAGTGCTCATTTGCAAACATCCTCGCGTGTTCCTCGTGAGTTGCGCTAACTCAGAGCAAACTAACGAGCGAGCGAGGGGCCAAAATGAGGCAAATCCGAACCCTGGAAATAGAGGGTAACGAGGCGGCGCACTGTCTCGCTAGAGGGATGCTTAGAAACCCAGCATGTTCCTTGCGGGACACTGCATACTGAGAGGACATCTACATTAGCTGGAAATGTGGGCAAATGATCTTTTCCGATTCGGCAACTCGACCAGCTATACACAACTACACATTCTTACCGAGTATGATGCAGTCTGCACCAGGCGAGAGAGAAGTCTAAGCTCCACAATTATTTTCCAAGCTTCAACTTCCTTAGCAACGGTCTTCCAGTTGCTGCAACTTACTCTATGACATTTCATCTTTAGCTGTCATCGTACAGCATTCACGACCATACAATCGTAACGCAAGCGAATGCCCTAATTTTTAGTAATGGTAAACTTTATCTGAACACTACTGTATAGCTTAGAACAGCGCTTTTTTTTGTCCATTTACTTTGTGTCAATTTTTCTCGGAAAATTATTTTTATTTACGTGACTTCTACTACTTAATAACCAAATTTCTCATTTAAAATATGGCAACAGGCAAATGTTAATCAACTCTGTAGACTTTCTGTTCATATAACAGTATCCTTTCTGACAATCGTGAGAACACGAACTGCAAAGGCTACTCGGGCGCGCTAGCATTTCTTGGCGTTTCATTCATAATTTCCGCCTACAGATGCTGCGAAGTTGTTTTCACATAAATAGTCAACATAACGAAAACACTGATTCAGTTTAGATGAGCGCGTTGCGAAGTTAACTTTACACTATCGGAGAGTAGCACAAATGCAAATCAAGTCATTCAGGATATTTAAAAGTATATAAAATAAATATAGTACACTTATGTACAAATGTATGTATAAAGAAAGCTGTCATGCGAAATATTATTTGTGTATGTGTTTTAGAAAAAATTTAGGTTAATAATACCACATGCACATATTTATTAGTGTACATAGTTAAAGTGAGTAAAAGTTAAGCATAAATGCAAAGTGCAAAAATACGAAAAAAATTACCATTTAGTTCAATTAAATAACTAGTAACAAGTCAGATGGAAACCCCGTTTTTTTATTATGTATATACAAAGATTATATACCAATTATGCATAAACAAGCATCAGTGGATTTTAAATGATAATTACCAAAACTGTCTCTGTGCAGCAGTCCAAACTTTTCAAGCATTCATAATTTTTAACAACTAACAAGGAAGTGCGCTATATAGAAACACATTTCAGCCGGTCGGGTAGAAAAATATATGAATTATACGTGAAAAGTTCGCTTATACCAGTGAAAGTATATTATGAAATTAAAAATTATAAGAAAATCTTGTGAAAACTCAGCAAACTTAGAAAATTGTAAGCAACAAAGTGATGCGTAAAACAGTTTCGGATCACTTATTTAATAATTTTGTTAACCAAAAAAGAATACACGCCCATGTGGATGTGATATCTCTCACACAGACATATCCAACTATTTGAAAGTGGCACTTTAAAAGCACCTGAAAAGAACGTACCGTAAAACTTAATCGAGCGTGAGTGTTTAATTAGCCCAGCTTAATGTGAATAAAAATTTACATCTATCAAGTGAGATGAGATAATGATGAAAGTGTGAAAAATTATGAAAACAGAAATATTTTGCGCAGATTTATACTAAACAGAAACTTTCTCTTATAGCAAAAATTTTTTAAAGTTGGGGTTAAGGTTCGTGGCCAGGCTGTGGAAGAACAAACCGATAAAAAAAAAACGTTTTTAAAGGCAATTGGGCCTGAGCAAATCAGGGCAATTATTCGAGTGCACTTTTTCAATGAAGAAGCTTCTCATAAAATTCATAATCCTAGTGGATATTATGCTTTTTTTTGTCGGAACCAGGCACAAATACTCATTTAGTAAATGTTTTTAAATTTTCAATGATATTGAAGGACACGTTTCATTTTTAATGAACCTCATTTAGTATATTATTCAGTAGGAAATTGTAAAAAAAAACCCTTGGTCATATGAACGCTGGGTTAAACTTGGGTCTCCACCAATGCCGCTAAGTTGACTAGAGTAGAGTAGACTTCGACATCTCCATAAATCAATTATTTCTGCAGGCAACTTAGGCATACCCGTACATTAAAATTGTGTTGCTGGGTTTTCAGCAAACTTCAGCAACGGGCCTACTTTTGCTAGTGCCTTAGAGCCCCGCCTTTTTCATTGAGGATCAGATTGGGGGAAAAAATTTATATATAGGGCTTTTTCATCATGGAGTTGGCTAAATGAATCCTCTAAGATGCGAAAAACAGTTCACAGTAACGGCCTGTACCCGAAGTCGCCTCTTTATTTTCAGTCGCAATGCGGCCTTCGCCAAAGCGCAACATTATGATAGATAAAAGGGAACAGTTATAAACTTGTAAAAGTAAAGGAAATCCAACAAAAACAAATGGAATCTACATCTGAAGGTTGGTAAAATACGTTGAAAATTTTGTAAATATCAACACTGTAACAGAATATTTGTTATAGCCTATAACTTATAGGCGGCAAACACGATACGTCTGACTCGAGAATCATTTGTGTACGTGTTGACTCGCCTTTCGACTACACACAGTTGAGTCATTCAGAGTCATACCAGAGTCATGTCGGTGTAACTAACACAAATTTATTTTATCTAACACATCCAAACCTACTCAGGAGTCAGATGCACGGTGTGTGCCGCCTGTTAGAAATAGATAATAAGGTTTATTTTTTAACAAAATTTGAGTTGTTAAATGAGGTGGCTAGAGAATTTTCGGCGTATCAGACCTAGTGAAGTTGACAGTTGCTGATCACTGGGTAGGGAGTAGGGACGTCGGAAATATATCAATGCTTAAATCAGGGACCGAGAACAACAATGATAACAAAACTGTCGAGAACGTTCTCAATGGAAATTGTATAAGAACAGTACCTTCGGAAAATTTCAAAAAGAAAAAAATGGGAACAAAAACAAATCGCGAGCGAACTAAAGCCTAGGAAACTTTCTGGAAGAGAACGAAACGGGAACCAATCTTCTCTAAACTGTTTGCGTAGAATGGAAGCGAGAACAAAATTGTTCACATGGCGTTCATTATTTAGTTTGAAATATTTTAACATTAATATTAATCAAAGAAGAACTGAAGGATAATAATTCAAATTAAGTCAACGCAAAATTTAAGACACGAACTTTTCTTGCAGGGAAAATAAAAAAAATTTTCCATAAAAGCACAGTTCACCCTAATGATAAACGATCTGCAAGCTTTAGTGATCTAGATTTCCCCTGGCATAGAATTGACAATCGTGGCTTTCACTGAATTGATTTTTATCCTAACACACACACGCCCCTCTCATACTTAACGTTAAGTTTTCAAAACGTGTTTTCTCCTTTTCCTTCTCTCCGCAGAATGTTCCCCAGACTTTTGTTCTTATTTGTTCGTCGTTGAAAACGTTCTCGAAAGTATGTTCTCATTCTTTTCTTCTTGAGAACGTTCCTGAAAGTTTTTTTTCATGTTCATGAACTTTTTATTTCTAATTTTGTTCTCATTCAAACTGCTCGCAATACCTTTGTTCCCATTTGATCCTTTTGTGGGAACGCTCTTGACAGAACTAAACCAAAACTAGAACGAGTTCTCGTTCCCTAGCTTAAATAGTCGATACATCGATGATGTCCTCAATCTCGGAAAGTTTAGCATGTGCTTGCTTTTACTATTCAGATAGGATTACAGCCAACTTGTGAATTTGTTGATCGGCCACTTCTCTGGGGCCAAAAATATCTCTCTGTAAATAATCGGCATATATGACAACCCACTTGTTTCTTCCTGCCTCGAAACGGGTGAGACATCGGAAGAATTAGGTGTAAGACTTTTGGCAGAAACGT